TAATATCAGCATTACAGTTCCTTTTAAAGTACCACTTTGGACAAAATTGTGCTCACAAATTTAAATCAAAACGTCTGACGCTCCTGCTATTGTCATTTGTGTCTGCAGTCTCACTGAAGAGCCCCAGGCAAGGAACAGGACCCTATTGTGATAGGGCTGTGCATACCCAGATCAAAACTGTGATCCCTGACCCCAAGAAATTCAGCATTGCAAATGCATGTATATTGCTGGCTAAAACATGACTCCTTCCAGACTTCCAACCAGCTGAACTATAATTTCTGACTCCAGACCTCATTCATATTTAGGAAAGAGACAGACTGAATAAACTCCACAGACCTTAAAAGATGGACTTTTAATTAATAGATTATCATTCTTTTAATTGAAAGGGCTGGCAGTCGAGTCCCAGGTGGACAAAGAGGGTTTTGGTGCTTGGCTATCAGGTGGATGATCTGTTCATTTCAGCGAAGGGAAACGTTTGTCCTGCTGCTCATCGCAGTCCATACTCCATTTCTTTTAAATCAACTATTAGCATGCTATGCCAGCATGTATAGCTTAGAACATGATTAAGATGTTCCTATTTCTTTTTTGGTAACATTTACAGAGCGTTGGTTTGGTGGTTTTTTTGGGGTTTGGTGGGATTTTTTTGTTTGTGGGTTTTTTTTTTGAATAGTTGACTACTGACTATAGCATTAATCCCCTCCCAGAGAACAAATAATTAAAAGCTGTGTAATAAGACAGCTGCTCTGTCTACCAGTTACGATGGAAACACTTTGCCTTTGAATCATCCATTTTCCCAAATGTATTCAATCTATGAGTAACTTATTAAAGATCCGCACAGACCCTATCTTAGCCAGAGTGAGTGAAAATGGGAAAAAACTCCACCCATTGCATTTAAACCATTGCTGTAGAAGTGCTGCATTATGTTTTTGAAATGTGAGTTTGGGAAAAGATAAAAAGAATTTGCTGTACTGCTAGACCCCATTATAAATGAAGAAGATTATCTTTGACTCCTTTCAGAGGTTTGAGTATTTCGGAGTACAATCGAGTGTCATGGTCACCATGCAGCATTTGACAGTGACCACTTGCAAATAATGAATGTTACCATGGCATTCCTCATATAAAGCCACAGTAAAGTTAATTATGTGCAGTGGCAACACTGTAATGATCTGGAAGATAACTGCTGTAGAAGCAATATCTGTGAGGAATTAAAAGAGTACTTAGAGAAAATTGTATTGCATTGTAAGTTAAAAAACGTGGTTGCAGCTTTGGTACAAATATAAAAGCAAGGAGATTTCACCTGTTTCTAATTTTCCTTTTGCTGATAAAGGCAATTGTTTGCTTGGTTCAAGGTAGGGAGGGACCAGTAAGGGAGTTTACTGGCTGTGTGATTGAACCCCTGAATTAGAAACGTTGGATTTTCTGTTGAGCGTGAGGACTGTGATCAGTGTATGTTGTTAATGCAAGCGTATTACTTCTCACTTCTGGGAGTGGGAGCATGTGCACAGTGATGGTGGGGCCAGGGAGCCTGCCCAGCCCCACAGGTTGCTAAATAGGAAAATCCATCATGGGCTTAGTCTTTTGAGGGGGGCTGTCACCCTTATAGGATGCTAGTCAGTCCTACCTATGTCACTGTATCACCTCTGGGGAACCTCAAAGTTCACCTGACCCAGCCAGCATCCGGGGTGGTGATGTCCTGCCATCTTGAGCCTGTACCTGGGGAGAAGAGCATTGGCCCCCAGTCGTCTGCTCCTCCATCAGCCTTCCCTGCCCCTTTAGCCAAAAAAGCACCTTTTCTGCAGCGTGAGGTCTTGGGGACAGAACGACCCATGTGAGCGCTGGCAGCCAGCAGAATCTGGCAACAAACCAAGTTGGCCTTGGAGGGGACGTCCCACTGTTGGGCCGGTGTCAGGCTCTTATTCACTTGGAAAGATCACAAAGACTTTTTGGCAAAAAGGCTGTGAACTGCTGTGAAGCTGGGGAGGTTTCCAGCTCTGTTTGCGCTTATGTTGGCTTCCCTTGCTTTGCAGGCACAGTTTCACAACTCTCAAAAGTGACCCTGTATATTTAGCCGACTTAACCATTCCTCGTCAACCTTATTTTTCAAACTGCTTCTCATCCCTTTCCCACGTCTTCACAGTTTGTCAGTGTCTTTGTTGCAGGACAAAGTTAAGGAGTCTTGAGTGAGTCAAACCTGGGTGCCTATTCCCTTCCTCCCTTTTTAACTTGCATCCTTTAATTTTTGTGATTCTGGATGGTGTCTGTGATGGAGTGGCATCACCTTATACAGTGTAATCCAGAGCAGAGCCCCTCTGCTTCTGTTGGAATGGACATCACGCAGTTAATGGTATGAAAGAGGCCTTGGGAGGAAATGCAGTGCTGTGGTGGCTTAGGGTTGATTTTTCATGGGTTTGGGGGTTTTGGGGTTGGTTTTTTCCCAGTTTTCATTTTGAAAAGTGACTGTGCTCAGTCTGTCTGCTGTACTGTCTTCCCAGCTGGCTTTCTCCAGTGTTAAAAGTGATGCTGTGTTCTCCTATTCTGTACTTGTAGTTCCTGATCGTTTCTGATCTGACTTTTCACTGCTTTTTATCTGTACGTGTTAAATCTCCTTTTCCTTAACTCATTCATCTCTCTGGCTTTTCGAGACATTGCTGTGCTTTCTTTTCTGAAGCATCCTCTGTTCCTTTCCATTGCATCATGCTCTTGTTTTATTAAACTCCACAGTTTGATCATTATCCATTTTATTAGTCAGCATATGACAAGGGTGGCACCAGCAATGATCTATACCAGATTTTGCCATGTAGTTTCCTTTGCTGCATCCCATAAATAGGGCTGTAACTCATTCATGATAGGTCTTTTTTTAGGGGTATAAAAAGGAAGTGGGACACTGGTAATGGCACAAAGTTGTGGTTTCTTGCTTTGTGATACTCTGTATAGATCACATTTGGTCAGTGCTGCTGTCCCAGCAGCCATGCAGCCCAAACACCATCCATCCGTGTTATTCTTGCAGTGTTTGTACAGCTGTAGCATCCCGGAGCCCTTGGAACAAGACCCTTATCCCCCTAGCTGATTAAGGAGTACTAATTTGCTGATACGCAATATCAGCAGCAATTAACGAGTCCCCTTCCTTGGCTATAAAAAGCAAGTGAACTGATGTGCTTTTAGGGGCCCAGAGCCGATTCATGGAGGAGTTCGTTATGGCGAAGTAATTTCTGAACCCATGCCAGAGTAGAGATCTGGGCAGCTCTTACAGGGTAGGTGAGATAGGTCCTTGTTCCTCCTTCCTGCCTTGTGTGGGTGTGCAACCCAGGTCAAAGTCTGGTTTTTTTTTTTAAGGAGGAGACCACCAGCTATCATTTTGCATGCACCGAGCTGGGCTGACGTCAGCAAAGCTCTGCCTGTTTCTCCAGCACTGAGTGTGACCCATTTTATTCAGAGTGTATGTTGTACACCTCCGTACAAATGATGAAGCAGTGACTTAACGCAGGCAGTGATTCATAGTGGCAGGCACCTCTGCAGTCCTCAGAGGATATCTGGATCTTTCCATAACTGCACTTTTCCAAGGAACCACTTCATTTTCAGCCCAGAGACATCTGGAAATGGCCAGCTATAGCTGGGAGGTCCAAACTCCTCCTCTCTGTGCACCAAAACTCCCAGCACCCAACTTCTGAGCATGTTTTATCTATGCCGTACGTTAAAGGAGGGCGCAGATGATTGCTAGCATCTGATGCTACGGGGTAACAAGTGCCAAATGTTGCTGTAGCTCTTGTGTCAGAAATGTGCCATGTGGTGTGAACGTGTCAAAGCCTCTGTGGATCTTGGTGTCATTGAGCTCAGCCCCGCATGTCTGTGCTGTTTTTGCTTTTTCCTTAAACTCACTCAGAAACTACTGCAGAAAACCCAGCCTTGCTACGTGTTGCTTTCTCCATCTCTCTTGTAGGCCTATTACTGATGCAGGATCTGTTATTGCTGTTACTGTGTATTTATTGTGATCGAGTGTTATGCATTGGTCTTGCAGCAGAGTGGTAAAGCATCGTCCTTGTTCCCCTGAGTAACAGTACTCCAAGTTTACTCTGTTTGCAATCACAGGACATCGACTGCTTAGCAGTCAAAACCCAAACTGATCACATAGGATGAGTATCACCAAGATATCTGTTATCTTCCAGAATGGTTGTGGCCCAGCATGGCAGGGAGCAAACTTGAGCTCAGATGCTGGTTTCTACTAAGTCCTGCAGAAGCTTTGATCAAAATACTTCGTATGCTCTGTCTCACTTTCCTTCCTCTGTTGAAAGA